TTTTTTTAACCCCTGAGTTCCTGGACCTGGTGGGACTGGGAGCAGGGCAGAGAAGCATTGTTTCTGAGCCCCTTCTATGTGTCAGGAACTGGGCTAGTCTCGACATTCCCACCATCTCAAAATCCCCCAGGTGCTCCCTACCTGTGGTGATTGTCTTCGGATTATAGGTGGGGTGGTGGTGGGCAGCTGGGGAGATAGAGAATCCGTGGTAAACCAAGTCTTGCACTCCTGACTGCCAGGGACACCCCAGGTCAGGACTCTGACTCAGGTCGCACCCATTTCCCAGACGCAGGTAAAGCCACATGCCTTCCAGTTCTTTTCCCACGGGTCTGTCCCCAAGAAGTGCCCTCTCTCCATCTTGACCTCGGACGCTCATCTCCCTAGTGCCACTTCATCCAGGAAGCCCCAAGTCCCTTTTGAACATCCAAAGCCCTCCTTATGCCTTAAATTGCAAGAAGAGCTATCCCCAGATTTGTCCCAGGCACCCACCCCTCCACTCTACCCAGGTACAAAGGTCGAGGGTGGACACCTTAGCAAGGTAAAGGCAGACTTAAGACTGAACCCTGAGTACTTCGATGCTATGAGCCCCTCTCCGGGAAAGTTGGGTCTTTTCTGGAGGGCCAGCCTCGGCTGGAGGACACTCCGGTCGCTCCCTACAACTTGGCTCAGGTCAGGGCAGCTCGGTACCTGGACATGCCTCCGAGTGATTGTAGACCCAGCAGTCTTCCTTGGCTGCCGCCTCCGCTGGGGCCACACAGTGTCCTGCTGGTACAAGGGCAGGGAGGGGTTGCAGAGGGGGCTAAGGACAGGGGTTCTGAATGGGGGACACTCAGCATGGAGGGCTACCTGGCTCCTCGGCCTGGCATTGCTCCCACACGCAGCCTGAGAGGTTGTGCGCTCTGCTGCCCTCCACACACGGCTCGCATTGCTCCAGCTGCCCGCAACCCCCTTGGCTGGCTGGCCAGAGGTTCAGGCGGAGCAGGGCACCCCGCCCAAAGCCTCGGGCTCCTTTCCCTGCGAGGGTGGGGAGGAGATGGATGGTGATCGCAACAGGAGCTGCAGAGGCCCCGAGCCTACTGTGCATGCAGCCGGGTCCCCCATCCAATAACGAGAACCCTGAGCTCCCTGTACCGTGGGAGCTGCCCCAAACCACGGTGATGCTCCCACACCGAGACCTCTCACACCTCCCTGCCCTGCACCTGCCTGCCTGGGATCCTGACCCACGCAGGTCTCTTCCCAGCTACCTGTTGGAAGCCCCCAAACCCACCACCCTCCAGGGGGCATGCCCCCAGGAGAAAGGTCCCTCCCCAGCCCCAGCCTGGTCTGTTGGGGTGTGCAGCTGGGCGAGGCGCTCCTTACCTGCCGCCGCCAGCTGGACGCACAGCAGGAGGCAGCAGCAGCCGCCACAGAGCACAGACCGCCAGGCGCGGGGTCCCGGTGCGGCCATGGCGGGGCGTCAGCTGAGAGCGGCCGCAGTGAGTCCCTGCGCCACTCGCTCCACCGAGCGTGTGAGGAGTGGGAGCTGGGCGACCGCGGCGGGGGCAGTGGGGGCGTGGCCAGAGGAGCAGCCAGGTGGGCCGGGGAACGGCGGACTCCTAGGGGGCGTGTCCAGGTGGGCGGGGTTGTGTCGAGGGACCGGGCCTGGGAGGAGGGGCGGGGTCAGTGACTAGCTGGCTTGGGGACTAAGTTCGCTCTAGCGGCAGCTTCACCCCAACTCCACTAAGTAGCATCTGTGTGTGTCCCGGCCCAAAAGGTGAGTGACTGGCCCAAAGTCACGGAGTGGGTTTGGAGTGAGGTGGCCTCTGTCCCCGGGCTCAGCGCTGCCAGGTCTGGACTCCTGGGATGAGCCTAAGCTGGGCCCCTGAGGGCCAGCTCTCTTTGCCTCGTTCCCCACGCCCAGCCTCCACCCCCCAGCCCCTGCACCCACTTCGGGCCCTCAGTCCTCCCCTCTGCCCCTGGCCCACCTTCTGGTCAAGTCACACTATTGCTCGGTCCGCGGGGCTCCGGTGGCCTTGCCCAAGACCTCCCCACCTGGCCTGATGCCTCTGCCCGGAGGTCCTCCTCTTGCAGCCCTTCTCTTTCTTCTCCATCCTCCTCCTCCTCTTCTCTCTCCTCCTGCCC